TAGTTCCTTCTGCATATCTGTCTGATGTTATGAAATTAGGCCATGACTAAATCTTGGAAGGCCATTTGGGCGTACAAAAAACTCGAAGTAAAATATGTTTCCAATTCTACTGGCTGGCTATGCAAGATGACATTAAACACGGTTGGTGATGTGAGGCCTCGCAAAAAATCCAGACCCAGGGGCTCTGGCGACTATCCATAATTAAATGGCTATGTGAACGTTGTAATGACGTTCTTAAGTCTATGCTCAAAGGTAAGTGTAGGGGGTGGCCCCAAAACTGGGACCGTTTTCTCTCCATTTGAGCTGTTGTATGGGAGAACAGTGAGAGGTCCTGTGACTTTTTGAGAGAGCTGTAGACATAAGAGATCAACAATCATGTAATTAAGAATACATATGAACACGTCATTAACCATGTAATTGATTGGAGAACACCTGCAAAGTAGAATTCAATAAGTCCAGTGATCGATATCAGGCCCAGTTTGATAAAAGTACAAAACTCTGATCTTACACCATTGGTGAGATAGTACTGCTGTTGTTTCCAATGGCCCACTATAAGCTGCACACATACTGACAAATACCCAACCATGTTAGAAAATGATTCAGGCAGAATGACTATCATATAGAAGGGATAATACAGATAAGCTGTACCTTGCCAATCTGTTAAAGAAGTACGCGCAATGAAATGATAATACAAACATGAACATACATACTGACAGTATGCATGTTTACTGGCTTTATTGAAATTCCACCTACTGATCATGGCATAGTGAGCCAACAACATCTGAATAGGTGACTTTGTGCCTTTAATCATTCATCTGTGTACTGAACTTACTGAGTCTCAGAGCGAGGAAATGCAACAAGTATTGAGAGAACATACTGCCACACTTACAAAAATACCAGGCAAATCAAACATCACACGTAACAACACGTAATGCTGTGATAATAAAAAAAGTACATGATGAAACTGGGAAGCAGCAAATGCTCATCCATTGTACTTATTAAGGAGACTGATGGACATCTCGATTTTTTACTGATTTTCGTAAGCTCAATAAGATCACAATATTTTAGCCCATTTCTAACCCAGAAGAATTTATCAAACTTGATCTCACTTAGCTAGTCTTAGCTAAACTGCCTTACCCATTTTACCCCATGAAGATATCAAGAATGTATAAACAGCTTTCAGAATAGACTATCGAAATGTTCAGCAAGCTCGAAGTCCTAGGCTAATTGGTTCCAGTCCCAGGAAAAGTCCACCTTGGTAGAGCTGCTATTGATAGGACAAATGATGAGTGTTTTGCAAAAAACAACAACAATCACTTACTACTATTTTATAAATATATATTTACCAACAAAATACCCTATTTTTAGAAAAACAATGACTTTATTTCTAGAGAAGCTGAACTGTAGTTTAAAAAGATAAGCTGTCTTGCTTTTCTGTTCAAATACCTCTGTACACTTGGTCTATTTGGCAAAACAAAACACTTTTTTGTCTAGTACTCCTGCTTGACATACGTGTATCAGTCTTTTACAAAGTAAGCCTTTTTCGGGTTACACGGACATGCAAACTTCAAAAAGTATATGCCCTCTTTTCCGCGAAATTTAAAAACGCACGTTCATATCCTTTTAATGGCTCCTGGTCCTGGAATGGCGGAAATGCTGGAATTTGACTACCATTCAGCCGTCTAGTATCGGAACATCGAATGCATGCGCGAGCATATATATCGGAAGGTATGTGTGTCGTTTGAAAGTGATTGGTTCAGTCATGTCCGAGATATAAGACTCCGTTTGAACAGGGTATAATTAATATGTGCATATAAAGTATTACATTTTCCCAAATATAATACTGTTGCAAGATTGCTAATTGTTTGCAAACAATCTGTGCATTCACTAAATTGCAAGAAAAGTAACATGAGTGTATGTATCTTTTACAACAGTTTGTTAAAAGCGATTACAACATAGTACTTCGTTGTTTTTCAATTAAATTGTGCAATATCATGAGCAAGACCAGGTTATACTAGTTGGATGTTGGTTGTTGGAATGCCATTTTTCTGCCGTTCTATTTTTGTTCATTTTCATAGTATTGAATTTCCACAACATATGGAATGTTTAGATTCAGCTTATGCATTGATCCAATGAATTCACAGATGTTTTTTTTATACACCATGCATTGCATAGTATCTCATGTTTTTGGCGAAATTGCAGAACTGGAAATATGACATGAATATACGCTATTATAGTGTATTCTTAAATTCAGAAGTTGACACTCGTAGCTATAAATACGAGAGCAAACATAACAAAAGCATGACAAAACCCTACACTAGAATGAATATGTTCTGAGTAGAAAAATATACATTGTTTTTTTTAAATAACAAATATATGCGTTTAGATAACAGCAAACAACATATGTTGATAGAGATGACAAATATAATATGTGTATTCCATATATTGTAATTATTCTATCACTTATTGAAACACCACGAAAAGTTGTGGGTTTACAGAATACACTTTTTTGCCAGAGTTATGTTAAACAAATTAATGGAAAATGTGGTTGAACAATGAGTCACGGCAGATCAAAAGTGGTATAGGTATTTGTTTCATCCCATTA